CTTCCTTCCTTCCTTCCTTCCTTCCTTCCTTCCTTCCTTCCTTCCTTCCTTCCTTCCTTCCTTCCTTCCTCAGTGTTGAGCTTGGAAAACAACTGGCAAAGAAAATTGAGCCTGAACTGGAGTCAGATGCACCAGTCACCTCCCACGATGCCTCAACTAATGGGCTGATCGCCTTCATCAAGAAGCACCGAGCCTGACCGCAACAGGATGCCTGATGCCCAGATCACTGTTGTAGCTGCTGCTCTTTTAGCCCCTTCCCCCAAGGTCATGCTTCGCACCAGTTCTGGCCTCGTCGTCGTTCTTGATGGTTAGCTTTATTGCATCAGAAGCAGTATCACAAAGGAACCCTAAAAAAAAAAAAAGTCTTGCTAAATCTGGAAATTTGATCTTGTGATGGTTTCATGGCAACTGTGATAGTAGAGCACCGTGTCCCTCCTGTTTCAATTCCCATGCCTGGCCCTGCTGTGGAACAGGAGCAGCGTGTAGTGGGTGGTTAAATCCTTTCTCATGTTGTCTTGTGAAGCCCCACCCTTACTTGTACACAATTAAACTAGAATCAATTATAACATCTCTCTATTCTTCATTATTTGGACTGTAAATTGTCTTGGTCTGTGTACAGAGGGGACTCAAGCACATCAAGGCCCTGCAAACTTAATTTTTTCATCCTCAGAAAAAAGGCTTCAAACCTGGAGGCTTCCAGTCCGGTCCCAATCTGGGGGTTTATGGTGGAACTGGTGGTCTGGATGTTGAGTACTTCTGGCCCTCTTTGGTTGCTGCTGTCTCCTGCTAAGTCCATTTTGGCATCAGAGGTCATCAAAGAGGGGAAATTGCTGCCAATTGAGGCTGGGGGAAACACAAATCCACATATATTCAGAGGAGCTGTTTCTTGGTGGACATGTTGGGGGATTCCAGGCCCCTCTGAGCCCCCCTTCTTTCCTCTTTGGTTCTGTCCTTTGAAAAAAAGATGAGAATGTCAAATGGTCTGCAGGCCAGTTTGGGGGCATCAAGTTCCATATATTTTTTATCCTCACAAAGCTGCTTTGTTGAAAAAGGATGATTTAAGGCCCTGTATCAGGACTCTGGTTGCACCTTTTCCGACTAACAAATTGTATTAAAAAGCAGAAGTGTTTTTTTTTTGTATGTATAATTTTTATAAATCAAATTTTTAAAGAATAAAAACCATACAAATTTGGAAAGAAAAAAGTAAAGATAGTAACAAGTGAAAAAAGTGCAAAGAAAGTAATAGAGAAAAGAAAGAAAGGAAAGGAAAAGTTAAAATTAAATCTTTATTACAGTCTTAGACCAGAATAGAAAAGTTACAGAGAAGCAGTTTCAGATCATCTTGACAGCAGTTGCAAGTACGTTTATATTTTACCCTCTCTCTTTAAGGTTGCAACATAATTTCCTTCTTTCCATGGTCTACCCTTTCTAATCATCAAATCCATAAATCACAAGTTCATTTTTTCTTTTTTCAGCAAAAAGTCCATAAGGGCTTGTGAAAGGTGCTGCCTTTTAATCAAATGCAACCAGACCCCTGATTTTTTACCAGCAGAGACCAACAGAGTTCTTCTCCTACAATGGGAAGCAGTGCATGTACAGGTAGTCCTCAACTTATGACCATTCAGTGATGATTCAAAGTTACAACGGCACTGAACGAATTGAGGTTACAACCAGTCCTCGGAGTTCCAGCTGTCCCAGCACTAACCCTTGCTGCACGTCCTTTGCACCCTCCTTGATTCTCGCTGGACCTCCTTCACACACACTCCCTGACCCTAGCCATGCCTCCCTCACGTGCCCTCCCCAATCTTCACCACATTTCCCTCACACCCTCCCCTACCTGGCATCAGCCACTTGCTGGCCTGCTTGCAAGCCACCTGGAACTTGCAACTTCCTGCTGGCTTCCCCACTGACTTGGTTGTGGGAAGCCGGCAGGAAGTTGCCTCGCCTAACGACCATGGGATTTGTTGGTTAACAATAGCAACTGGGACTGCAGGGATTGCCATCACTAAGCGATGCAGTTGCACTTTACCACTGCATCACTTAGCAATGGAAATTCCAGTCCCAACTGCTGTTGTAACTTGGGGACTACTTGTAGTCAGAAGAATAGTGTTTCTAGCCAGCACTTCCTCAGATCTGATTCAGGATGAGATCTGGATCCATAAATGTCCCAGCAGCACATATGGACATCCACAATGCAGTTGGTGCTGCCTTCCCTGGAGAGAGCCTCCTGCTTGGCTTTCTCCTTGCCTATCTGCTCTTCTAAATGCTCTTGTGTTGCCATTGGGTGCTTGGTTGAATGGAGTGTATGGTTGGAAGTGCAAGGACTCATGGCAATATCCAAGCACTGGGCTTTGCATCTTGTGCGCCCTGGGCAGGCATTCTTGCCCTTCCCCGGGGGAAGGGCAGCTTGGGGTGTCCCTTTCCCACTGCACAAAAATCTCAAATTCCTAGCTGGCTCTCTGCTTTTTCTCCCCCTTGCAGCCACTCCATTCCATCCCCTTCCAGCCTGGTGGTTCTCCATCTCCCCACCCTGTGACACCCACCCCCCCCCCAGCACAGACCAGGCACAGACCCTGCAAGGGACTGGCTGGGGTGTGGAATCTTCTGCAGAGCTCAGGGTGAGGAGCTGCTCTTTGCTTAAAAATAGGCAAAATAATGATGCTTGGGACAAGGCTTCCCAGCCAGGATGGCTTATAGGCAGAATTGATCCAGCCTCCCACTCTGTTTAGGGCTGTATTGCAAGTCCAAGCTATGATTCCAACTTTTTCTCCTCCCCCACACGTACTCAAGGAACACCCGAGTTGAAGAAGTTAGCAAAGGAAAGTAGATTGCAGGTGACATTGCAAAGAACAAAGCCACCCAGAATAGCTGATAATTACATTCTTTTTGGGGGGGCACAATATCCTAAGAGAACTTGAAAGTGGTCAGCCTGGTTTAAAGACCTTGGTGGTCCTTAACAGCTCCCTATAGTTTCAGAGTCTGCTTCAAATTTAAATCACAGAAATCTTTCTTCCCTGCCCCAACCACATGGCCACCTTCCAGCATTAGAACAACCCTGTCATTCAAAAAGCCCCCTCCCCATTTTTAGTCTATTGAGCATCTATTGGCTCAAAGCTAAGAAAGTGCTATACAACTTTACAGCATTTTTTTTTAATGAAAACACACAATCTGTTGTGGGTATGTGTGGGACCCCAATGCAATGCATGTTTGCTGATTTGAAGTCCTAGCAGAAAATTAAAATTAAAGTTTTTAATAACATGGAGAAGAATAAGACCAGAACAAAATGACCGACTGACAGGGCAATCAGATTAATTAGAGGCCCCAGTAGATGAAGTCTTATGCTTTGCAGCTTTCTTCCACTCTCCAGCATCATTTCTATAACAATTGCGTTAGCTGACCTGTATCAAATAATATGCAACTTGAGGCAGTTCCACACAGGCAAGGGATTATGTATGATAATTCTTGTGTGACTAAAGCATTTGTCTTTGATATAAAGGAAGCACCAAGTATGTTTTAGTTTGTCCTCAGTTTTTTATTGATTACCTGAGATGGTGGTGGAAAACCCTCCAGACCCTCCTGTTCAGCCATCCCTCTGTGCTCAGAATGAACCCAAGCCCAGTTAGTTCCCTGCTGGCACGTCCAGCCTCTGGACACAACTAGAGCGCCCCATTCTGCCGTTTCAAAGACTGGGAGGGCTCCTGATTCTGCGCTGCCACCATCGCCAGGAGTAAAACACCAAGATGTGCACCTCTAGAGTTCCACTAGATTCTTTTTTTTTCTTTTTAAATAAACCTGGGAAAAATAACAGCACTTATGACAGCATGGTAGTTAACGAGCTTTCTCCAGTAGGGGGTACCCCAAGAAAGGTAGCAGAGGGACCTGGCATTGGTAGAACTGGTAGAACCCTAAGAATAAAGCAAGAATTCTGTGTTGTTGTTTTTCTCCATTTTATTATTAATATTTTGAAAGGATGTAAGAAGAGGCGATACAAAGGTAGAAGAATAAGGTAGCGAAATGCAGGTGGATAAACGAATCTTTAACTTCGTCACATGAATATATTCCAATACAGCATTAGAAATGTATGTACTCCATGGTCTAAATAGACCCTTTTAATGCTAGGATTATGGTTTAGTGTACCTCAAGCAACCTGGATTCATAAGCCAGGTTCAAACCCTGAATTGAACAATAGAGTCCAGGACTTGTTGCGCAGCATGCAGCAATACTCCCAGGAAATTGCCAAAAATACACATCAGTATGAGAGATTTACAAAATGCAATGTGCATATCTTGTTCTCCAAAGAAATCCAGCCAGAAAGTATAAAATATCTGGTGGTTTATTGATAAAAAAATGCAAAACTCCATAAAATACAAGTTTCATACAAAATAGAGGAAAAAAACACTTCTTCTCATGTATTTAGCATCCAAGACTTAACAACTACACAGGTATA